AGTGGAGCAACTAAAACAAATTCAAGATGTTTGTCAGTGACGGCAGAATGCATGTGTGGGGTCCTCACGGAAAATATTTAGATCAAAGTTGGTGATGGTAGACCGTAAAAGATGCCAGGCTACTACATTGGTTTCGAGGAGTGGTGTAAGAGGGTAGATTCTAGGAGGGGTTGCATATCAACATCTATGACATTTGCACGCTTCTGAGTTCATCTTCTAGCAACAGAGCGACCAAAACCACCGCACCTCCACAGGTGAAGGAGTGGTTCCAAATGGCGCGCTTTTAACGAAGGAATTAAGTCAGACGCACGACTTGTGCGTTCAGCTTTTAGATTGATCATTTCTTTTTCAGAGACGGTACGCAACCACACAGCAACAACATCCCTCATCAGGAATGTTACATCATGTGAGTAATTCTCAGTCCTTTGACATGTATTCTTTCTAGCCAGAGGGCCCTGCCACTTCCAATTCTTCTGCTAGGCCGTTCATTTCTAAGCATTATTCTGGGTGATTTTTGGTTTTTTTTATTTTCATTATGTTTCATGTTGTTCGTTGTTACATGTTTCTTCTGATCTCGATTTTTGAAAACGTGACGTTCAACATAAAATATTTGTAGGCATCTGCAAATATTTCAACTAATCTTGTATGTGTTACTAGTACACTTTCAAATAACAGTTTTTGCGATAGTTTGTTTAGCTGGACATCATTCGAATACTACGATTGGACCTATTCTACTGAATACAACCGCACCCTCTCTCTCCGGGAACACAAGCCAACGTACGTTGATTCATAAGATTTCTTTAAAAGGCAGTGAGTAAGATCATACCGTATCAATCAAGTATGATAGTAGTAGTAATTTACTAGTAAAAGTGTAGCAGAAGTAAAGCAGTGAGTAACTGCAGTATGAAATGCTGCCGCATTGGAGAGGAAACTAGAAATCCGTCGAAAAGATAGGGCCCCATCTTGTCAGTTGGTTTTGGGCGAGTTTACCGCTTGGAAGTTGCAGTTTGACCACATGACACACCGATGTCGGTATAACACACGACACTACCAGATTACAAGATACGATCATTTGACGCAGAAAGTGCAGAACCTACTAAACACAGGCTGCAGGATGGCATAAGCAGTTGACAAGCAGTGTATAGGCGATAGAGTTTGCACTGTCACGAGGAAATTGAGACAAAATGGCTCGAACCTCGCAAAATGGAACCCTTTTATCTTCGTTCGATTTCCGCTCCAAACACGTCCGGCCAGAACTTGAACGTGCCATTCCCAATAGTTGGTCTTATGCCAACGCAGATGTACGAGATCTTTGATCGGCAACGCAATACATAAGCAAACAAGAGGAGTAGACGTTTCACTCTCTCGGACCCGAATTTTCTTGTGGAGAATGTTAGCTATTGTTTATTACTTGTGAGCATATAAGTATCATTATGGAAATTTGGAAGCTATTCGATCACAAACAAAGAAACTAAAGCTTTGAAAATTGGCCCACCTTCTTAGTTTTTAGCTTATGTCGAAACAATTCCAAATTTCATAGTTATGCCGAAAAAGTTTATAATCTTGCACAACATTATAACCCATAATTTTGATAAAAGAATGGATCTACTTCAAGTATTTTAGGAAAAAGTGACACTTACTTGGCCGGTTGCGGGGACCAGCGCCGATTCATTGTTGCACTTGTACACAAATACTTGTAATACTAACAGCAACACACAATGAAATGGCAGGTTTAGCTCATAATTAGGAAGGGGAAGGTTGACTGAAGCAACCTCTAGCAGGATTAGAAAAACCATGCTGTTTCAGCGGCAATGCAAGCATTTGAATTTGATGGTGGCAATTGCCACCGCCAGGGCCGAAAGGGTTAAAATAACTCTTTTTTTGGAATGAAGAGCAAAATATGGTAATGATACTGTCAACATTTACCTAATCACCGAATGATTAATCCACTTGGAGGCAGGCCTCGTCCCGACCATGTTGCCAGTGCTAGGGTTTCCTGGGTTGCGGTGAGTGCCGTTCCTTCGAATAGTAGGCATACCAAGCCATCTTTCATACCCAGTTTATCATAATATCCACCCTTAACCTGATTTTTGAATGCCTTGTTTAGATGTACATCAGTTGAACACTACTACATCGCCTCAACCCTTGCACATAACGATATCTCCATCGAACACAACTCAACGTAGGTCATTCCATTAAAAATTCATAAATTCATCAAATACTTTCCCTTCCAATGAAATTTGACTTCTGAGGCTTGGGATAGTGTCAACCAAGTTTAGATTTCGGCAGCGTGTTGGAAAAGCGAAATGTAGGCAATAGCCGAATGGTTATGAGTTGAGGTTCTTGTTTGTGCCCTTGAGAGCTGCCGGTTCAACCTCTGCTGAGGCAACAATCATTTGAAAAAGGTTGCTAAATACTTCCATCATAAAGAAACATGTTCAAAAGTAGCACAAAAGCAGCGTGTTCTCAGTGCTAGTGCGGTACAAGGAAATGGCACGCAGATCCGCCGTCCGTTGTTAGAGGTACCGCCTGTGAAGGCTAGAGTGGACGATCACAGTCCCAGCCTGGGGGTTTCTCCGAATAGGGATTCCGAATGGGACATAGAACAGCTAGCTGGGAAGTTTTGAGTATTTGCCAGCTTCATGACAGCAGGAATATCTAACCATAAGTTCCATGTCTTTCAAAGACGCGGTGGAGAGGGCTGAGGCCAGAGAACTCAGGGAGGATACCAAACCATACTGCAGGGGAAAAAATGTTCAAGGAATGGCTCACGTACTCACGATCGCGACAGAGCCCTTCAAGGATCACTTCCGCTGTAATCATGATCAGCGACTGAATCATGGCTGTGAGGATAGGCACAATGGAAATTGAGAGGGACGATTGTACCTGATCCATAACGGTGCCATCAGGTCGATTTCGAAGACGATTCGCTCACCATAGGCACATAAGGAAGGTCGGTAGTGACGAAAGGGGCCCAAAGAGAGTCCGTGTAGCATTTTCTCAGCGAAAGGGGAGACACGCACTCACCCAAAAGTAGTAATGGAGGGAGGCAGGAAATCGATCCCTTGTTCGTTACCAGGTTGTCCCTCGAAACTGTAGAGGACGTTAAGGTGCTGTCGGGTGAAGAGCTGGCTTCTCAGCAAAGCCGCTTCTGCAAGACATTATCATGGACCTTCTTAAGAAAACAAAGAGGAGAACGGCGCAGAAATTTGTGATGGAGGCCGCAGCAAGTGGAAAAGGAGAGCTTGAAGGCGAAGTTACGATAAAAAGGCAGCTCTGCCCATGAGAAATAAGGCAAAGGTGATTAGTGGGCATGAGAAATGGCCTGGTAGCAATATCCCTGAGCAGTCTCAGCGGGCCCATGTTTCGGTGTAAATCATCTTCAGAGGCTCTAAACCAACAGAACAATACACATTGTAGCCCTTATGTTCTAGCACCTTATTCCCTTTATTCCCCATCACTTCCATGTTTTCAGATGATCCTAACTGTGGAGCAAACGAAGTATATTTCACTCAATGCCTGTGCCTCATTGCCAAACAACTTGTAGAGGAGTGGAAGAGGTTAGCATCACCACTTTCCTTTTCATGAATTCTCTAATTACAGATTTACTCTAAACTAATTGGTGATAGGTATATGTGTACAATAATGCAACAATAGTAATAACAATCAGAATAAAGTGTTTAGTGCAGTGCTAGTCACGGCCCCACATGCACCTCAGGTTGTACCTGTAAGTCTGGTTACAGGCGCAATGGACGTGGAAAATGCGTGCTGCCAAGGCACTGCTATCTAGGTACGCTTTGCTACAAGTGTTGCTAATATAAGCTGAGAACAACATGTTTCTATTTACTTTTGAGTAAACCAATCCTATTGTTTAGCTCCTGGGTGTAAAAATAACGAGACATGGTCAAAATGTGCAACATGTGAACGGAAATGTGCTGACACAAATCAGGTACGCTTGTTCATGAATATCCTTGGGTGTGCACCTTTAGTCTAAAGTGCAATTATGGGGAGACCACCTCGCACCTACACCCACTTGCCTGTGGGAAGACCTTATTAATTGCGCTAGGTTGTCGGCTGACCTCTTCCTCTCGTCAGACTCAGTAGCGATCATTTGATTAGTGAACTTCTTACATAAACACGTTTTCAAGCTACGGAACAAAAACAAAATAATAATCGAAGGAAAAAATAGAAACCACAAAAGCGCATTAGTAAACTTCAAAGGCTGTATAAACCAAATTTTTGCGAAACAAGAGATAGAAATATTTTTAGAAGGACATTTTAATCTCACATCTTTGTCGTAGATTGATTAAATAGATAGAAGATTGATCCATTTTTCTTGGCATGACGTAGAAAACTGCACATTTGCATTTATGACTTAATGAATTTTGGTGAAACTTGATACGCCTTTTGAAGTGGATAAAAAAATACAACAGCAATGATTTTCTACTGGCTAGAAATTCAAATGGGATTCTTAAACTTTTATACTTGACACATTCTTGACTCATGTTTCAGTTATTTTTCGGTATTGACTTGATTTCACATTTTTCGCTGTCTTTTTTTGAATTCTGTCAGTGTATCACCACTCATTAATATTTTTGGGTGGGTCATCTATCCTGGTCATTAGCATTCAGTGGCAGTAATATAAACTCAATCTCAACACATTGCTCTACAACAAACTATCGCCATTGTTAAGATTTGCCACATTGTGCCGAGGCTTATGAGGATCCGGGTCTATTATAACCTATCTGAAGATTCACTTCAACATTCGGAATTGGTGATTCTGAGTTCATACAAAAAACATCCCGGCCAACAGCAAAATTCCATGCTAATAATTTGCAAGCATCATGACGCTATTGGATGAATGATGAATTGGGATGAATGAGACTCAGAAAGTCCTGAAGTTGCTCTCCTGAAACTCATGCGACATTCAACATGCAAAGGGAAAGATTTAGAGATGAGAAAAATGGCTACTACACGAATGTGTGGATTCCCTACATGGGGGGGGCTGCTCGCAATAGAGTCACATTTTGAAGAAAAGTCTTGAGGAAACTCTTCTGGATGGGAAAACTCTCCAAACCAGTGTAATCAACGGAGTCTTGTGATAACTTCTTCATTATATTGATGCAGCGCATCGTAGTAGAATGCCTCTGCGAGGTCAGGAGTCAGCGCAGTCAATTAAGTGAGGTCACCCCGCAGGCGACTACTAGGAGGCATAAGGTAGCAGGTGCGAGGTAGTGATTAAGAGGTCATTTTTGACTAAAGTCCCTCTCCCATATCCTTGTATTCGACCCAGTTGGGTACTACATATTGAATGTTTGCGATCTCGGAAAATTCGAGTGTTTGTGACTACAATAAATTTATACCGGCATGAGTGTTGGGGAAGAGGGGGAAAAGAATAGTAAGCGTTGACTGGAATATGTTTTTTGAAATGAGTGTTTTTATTCTCATGGGTTGTGAACAAATCTTACACCTCGGAATGAAAGCAGAAAGCCCTGCGTCTTTGAAGCACATGGCTAGATTGTGGCTGTGAGAGATGAATCATCTTATCATAAACATAACCAGGTTGGTGCCCCGTCAACCGCCGGGACCTTCTTTCCATGCGTACGCTTTACGTCCTGAAATGACTTATCAAAATCTAATTGCACCCTAGGCCTGCTGGGGATTGGTTTTCCGCCTACCCTCCCCAAACACCCCCCTTCCACTGCCCTCCAGCTGCCACAGCAGCACCATGTGGAATGCACCGGAAGTGACCTCAGTAGGTGTTTATATACCCGATCCCGGACTTTTCCTTCCAGACTAACTTATGAATAATTTCTGAGGTGATGAAAACATCGGCTGGGTTGAAGCACGCGCCAAGCGCGGATAACACCGCTACAATTTTTGTCTTGCTCCTATATTTTTATATTCCAGATCTGCACTATCTGCTATTCCGGATGTGCGTGTAACGAAGGATATGCTCGTAACTCGTCAAACCTCTGCACTCTCGTTGATCATTGCAATTGAATGCATTTACTTGGTGGAAATTAATGAATCTGTTGGCACTGTGGAATTCTGTTCATAATTCACAATCAGGGATTTTCAGAGTTCAAAGCAGAGTTTACGATAAGGACAGCGCATTGATAATAATGGCAGAGGTGATCAGTGATGCAGGGATTGAGAAAAAAAACAGAAAAAACGGCCAGAACCTTTGAAGTAGGTCTTTGCCCCTTGAGGCGCAATGTGCCTCCGGAAGGTCAGTCTGTCGAAGGCTACTAGGACTAAGCCTAACGCAGAGGGGCAAATTCCGGAGGAAATGAAAATTGCTTACGCAGCTCGGATTCCATCATTTTCCAAGGCTTAGCCCCACAACTAAAGTTTCCGTAAATCTGACGCAA